GGCTCCTTAAAATATTGGACTTGATAGCTCTATTTTTAAAATAAAAGTTGATGTATAGCTATTTGCTGTCATTTCCTAAGGCAAAACAAGGACAGAATTATTTTAATTACAGGTACACACTTACTGAACCATTTATGTATGGAAGTGTTTGGCGAATTTGCAAAACCTATGAGTCACCTAGGAAACATTTATATAAATATCTCAAAGAATCTGAGAACCTCACCCTGGCCAGTCCCTCAGGTATGCATCACAAGAGTATCTGAGTTTTTATCTTCTATCATAAAAAATGGAGGGACAGCTGCATTTATCAACTTGAGCTCCTAGAGCAGGTAAATCATCCATCTTATCCCCCTTAATAGTCTGGGAAGGATGCAGGCATGTTAATTTTTTTATACCAACCTTCTTGAATATTGTCTATGATTCAGAGATGGACCACAATTACCAGTAATCAGCATACCTGTAAGCATTTCTGTTAAAAGAGATGCATGCATTTTTTTCAGATTTGAGATTGTCAAAAGTGTGAAGAGCAAAGAATTTTGAAAGGCAAATGTAACTGAGAACGAAATGTGTTATTTTGTTCTGTCCTAGCTATATAAGGCAATCTATAGTCCTAGCATTGCAATCAACCAATGAAATGGCAAATATACTTCTTTCTATGATGTAGTTGTGGTAAGCTCTTTAATTGCCATCTGTTTGTTTTTTTAAAGAAAAATTATGTCTTCAAGGAACAAGTTCTATGACCTTCTCTAAACAAACATATTATGTACTCTATATTATGGCAGCAACATGCAGATGACATTAGCAGAAGTAGTGACCAGGGGCTGGGATAACAACTGAGTGGAAGGATACATACCCTGTTAAAATGCCAGGTTTTGGAGATATGAAAAAAGCAGACCCAGATAAATCACTTCAGAATTATTTCCACCTTTAATGCAACATATAAGCTATACAATTCAATTGAAAAACAGGCTTAAATCTTTTAGGAGGAAAATTGCACAAAAAACTTACAGTAACATGGTTGCATAAGTGTTCGCATCCCTAAACAAGTACTTCGTTAAAACACCTTTTGATTTTATAATAGCTTTCAGTCTTTTAGGATAGCAGCATACCCTGCCTTCAGAATCTTTGCCTAGTCTTCCTTGCAAAAATCCTCCAAATGTGTCAGATTGCAAAGATATCTCCTGTGCACAGCCCTTTGGAATTATGGCCAAAAAGCTCAACCCTGGTCTCATCATTTTCCCACGTGCTTTTGTCAGACTTGATGTAGACTTTTGCAAAATGTAGTCAAGCTTGGATGTTTTTCTTTGTAAAGAAAGGCTTCAGTCTTGCCACCCTTCCCTACAGCCCAGACATGTGAAGAGTACAGGAGATTGTTGTCACATGTAATACCCAACCACTATTTGCCAAACATTTATAGGACTCCTTGAATGTTGCTGTAGGCCTCCTGGCAGCCTCTCAGACCAGTTTTCTTCTTGGTTTTTTTCATCAATTTTGGAGGAATATCCAGTTCTTGGCAATGTCATTGTTGTGCCATACAAGTAGTCCTGGACTTAGGATCACAATTGAACCTGGAATTTCTGTGCTTGAGACATTTAAGTGAATTTTGCCCCATTTTATGACCTTTCTTGTTAAGTGAATCACTGTGGTTGTTAAATTAGTGACACAGTTGTTAAGTGAATCTGTCTTCCCTATTGACTTTTGCTTGTCAGGTCTCAAAAGGTGATCACATGACCTTGGGACACAGCAACCGTCATAAGTATGAACTATTTGCCAAGCATCCGAATTTTGATCACATGGTCATGGGGATGCTAGAAAGGTGATAAGCATGAAAAATGATTGCAAGTCACTTTTTTCAATGCCATTGTAACTTTGAACAGTCACTAAATAAACTGTTGTAAGTCAAGAACTGCCTGACATTTTCTCCACTTGTTGTTGACTGTCTTCACTGTGATCCATGATATCACCAATGCCTTGGAAATTTTTTGTATCCATTTTGTACTCTTCTCCTGACTAGTATCTTCCCACAATGAGATCCCTTTGATGCATTATAAGCTCTTTGCAGACCAGGCCTTTTGCTTTAAGAGGCAACTGAATAGCAGGAAAACCTACTAGAACAGCTGGACTTTATATGGACTTGACCAGTCATTTGAACGGATGGAACATCAGTCAAACATACTGTATGTACTGACTTCCATTTGCCATCAGTTTGAGTGTGATTGGTTAATTCTGAACACAGATACATCCCTGCTTATAAGAGGGTGTGTGTATGCTTATGCAACCAAGTTGTTGTGTGTTTTTTATTATTTTCTTCCCTAAAATATTTGTTTTTCAATTGAAGTCTAGATTTTTTATATTCACTGTAGATGAAAGAATGTGCCATACTCTGGCCATCTATGGACTCAGCTATTGAATCATTATGATTACACTAATTTCACCAGATGCTTGACGTGCTATATGGGATAACACTTGATATCAGCATTATGTCTGCAGCTGTACATATGAATGTTGCATGTATCAATTATGTATGATTGATGGTATCCCTTTGGAGGCTAGCCAAAAATGTGACCAATGTCATTTTGGTACTGTACTCAAGTACAGTCTGAATCTTGACTGAAGTGGTTCCAGACAATTTCATCCAGGGCTCTGTTGAAGTTATAGTCTGACTACCTTCTACCTTTTGACATTTCCTTAAAAAAAAGTTGGTTGAAAACTGGACAAAAATTATCCAGTATTTTCAGATAAGACCTTGATATTAAGTTTAGTAGTCATTACAGAATAAAAATAGATTTTGGAGAATAGGGTTTGAGAAATAAGGAGTACAAAAAGAAATATCAAAATGACCCCCCTTATGTTTGAGTTCTAATATTTCCAGAAACAGATTATATTCAAACATGGCTTCAGCGGGTAATTTATAGGTTTACAGTGATGGGCACATTTAACACTCTCCCTTCTCTTAACTGGAATTCTCCTTCTTTGTTCTTCTTAGACTGATAAGAAAACATCAACTTTATTATTCTAATCACTTGTGCCAGAAGGGGACAGTTGTTGATTCCATGTTTATTTTTAAAAACAGGTTTGACTGAAGTAAAACTAGTGTTACAGGACAGGATAATGAGATACAATGTTGCAGAGACTGAATTAACCTGGAGTCTGTTTTGGAGTTGAGTTAAAACAATTCTGGATGCCTTGGCAGAAAAAGAGGATAATTGGATCTGCATTCCGAAGTTTTTCTAACTCTGATAATATGAGCTTGGTAATTGGATGTTGATGAAATAATAGTTCTGTAAAGTAGCTCAATTTAAAATTTTCAATTTACATCAATAAGTCTGTAGTATTATTCTTAACAAGTAAAAACTGCAGCTCAATTACTGTTAAAACAAAATGGATTTCAGTCTTGAAAGTATTTTGTAATGTAGTTTTTAGTTTTCAAAGTGCTCCATATGGTTTGTTTTGAAACAATCCTGTAAAATTTGCCAGTATTTTGATACTGTAGATAAAATAGCAAATGTTAAGAAAGAAAAACTTGTGTAAGGTCACCTCATTAAGGAAAAAGGTCAGAACGAACTAATGATTTTCTGATGTCATTTGTTTAATCGAGATTTACTCCTTAAAAACATTTGACTCTATTCACATCTGTTAGCCTCAAAACTGAATCAGTTTGCTTTCACTGTTATGTGTAAACACATTCTGACTCATTCTTTGGTTTATATCACCAGTTCTTTATGAAGGAAGAATTTAATTTTGCCTGAAATATGTTCTTAAAGAACTGTCAACCAATTAATAAATGTAGATTTAAGAAATGTTACTTTAGCACTTTTGGAACTCTCATTTTTGGTTTAGTGCAAATTCTCATAAAAAATTGATAAAATGTCAGGCATTGTTATTCTTACAATATACAATATGTATTAACGTTAGAGCAGCAACACTAGGCGTGCCGGCCTAGTGGTGAAAAGGCTCACCTCCCATTCAGAAGTTTTAGAGTTCAATCATAAACAGTGATTAGGATTGAACTTCTCTCAAGGCACAGGGAAAATATCTGCTGCAAACTCCGTGTAGGCATCAGGAAGGGCATCTGGCCAGTAAACACTCAGTTCCATTCACTCACCCTGACTCTACCCTGAATTAAGGGATTACAGGGTTGCAAAAAGAAAAAAATGTATAATGTTATTCCTGGATATTCAATGCAATAGTGATAGATGATAAGCAAATGTGTGAAGTTTTGTTATTTGAAGAATTTTAAATCAAATCTTCCAACATAGTGCAATAACAATCCCTTTTGGTTTTAGAATATTAAAATAATATACATACTCTGGATGGGATATGTTCCATATCCAAAGATAGGAAACAAAGATAGGTTTATAGACCCAATGCTATCCATCAAGATCCAGGCAGCTTCCATAGTAAACTATGCTAATGTCAGTTGGTATGAGTTATGTCTTTTCCTGGGCAGATAGTTTTGATTATTATGACACATGCCGTATAGTTAATTTCAAATCTGTAAAGTAAGACGTGTGGGATTTCCACTGAAATTAGTTCAACAAAGCCAATATTAAATGAGTACAAATTCCAAAATGAAAAGTACAATGACAATTAAGAGTTAGCTTTACTCAAGCATTCTTCACTCAAGCATTCATTCAGACATGTCACTCAAGCATTCATTCAGACACTCTTGCAAAATTCTACTCTGTTCAAGGATAAGGTAGCAAAAAACCCCAACTTATTCCCATGTAGAGTTGCTAGGATTAAGCAACCTCAATAGGGGCAAAGCACTGATTTTACATTTCCTCAGAAAGAAAGGCTCAAGATTCCCGCTTTCATTCTGTGTAAGTCAATGTTGGTATGTCAGTTATGTCACAAAAATTAAAACAAAACATTTCTATTAGTGGGAAGTAGACTTACATGTTTGGGCTTGGTAAATATGAACTGTGGTTTGAACAAAAAACTGCTAGTGTTCTCCATGTTATGCAATATATATATATATATATTAAGTCAAACTGAAATTTGTATTATCAAAATTTATTTTTCATATACTTCTACAATTTGCAGACCTTAATTTCTCATGTACATCTACCTGTAGTTGTGAAAATGCAATCTATACACAAGACACTGGTTTTTAGTATTTAGAATCAAAGTATTACACCTCCTGTAAGTTTTCAAAATTTTACATTGTGCTCCAATGCCAAATAATATTTACAAATTCTTGCATTTCTGTTACTAGTTTGTGACATAGGAAAGAGTGCCTAAAATTTCTGAAATTGCTACAGTGATAACAAGTTTCAGTTGTTTGAGGAATACATTCAAAATATTTTCTGTGATTCTCAGATGGATTGTGTAGGCCTAAATTTCAGATGAACGTTTAAATACACATCTACAAAAATACAACCTCAGCTATAAATATGAGAGAACAATTTAAATATGTTACAGAGTAAACACTTTAGAAAGGATGGAGGGAGTAGAGTATCCTGGTCTTTGAAATATCATACAATGAAGCTGAAATTATTTCATATTCTTCTAGTAAGATTTGTAATAATATCGGACTTCAGACACTATTCTGTACCACAGAATTTTTAACTTTTACATAATCTTTGCTAAAGTTATAAAACCTTTAGTGCTATAATGCAGAATGACACTTTAGAATATTTATTTTGCTACAAGTAGTATGTTGGTAAGACACCAGTGGCCTTCAATCTACTGAAATAAGAAAAATCCTCAATAAACTCTTTTCTTCATAGTTTGCAATGGTTAACAAAGGCACATGTAATTATAGCTTATAAACTAAAATTGAAAACAAATTTGCATTTGTTTTACTTGTGTGCATAAAAAAGTACCAAAGTAGTATAACAGTTGTATAGTGAGCAGTTCTTTGCAATTTAGTTTTTTTTCAGCAGTTTTTAGACCCTGTTATATATCTCAATAAGGATATCATTATGACTTTTGTCAAACTTTTCTCATATTTCTGACAAGAGTATAAAAAACATTAATAATTTTTTCCACTTTCTAGGTAGAAATTATGCTTTATACATTAGTTGGGTATAGATAGCTGCCTACAGTGCTGAAAAAATTAAAACAATTAAAGTTAAATTACCAATACATGATCATTAGATTACAATTAACGTCCGAAAAGATAGCTGTAATGACAGAAGGGACATATATACTTTTATTTTTAATATCATTTTTCAATTTATGGTAATTGTGATATTACTGTAATATCTTTAAGAAAAACAGTGGTATAACTATTGTTTTAGAATTGCAATCTGCCTTTAAATCAGTATAAAACTATCATTTCCAAAATATTCAAAAACTAATTTGGAAACATGTGTTAGCTAGTTTTATTTGGCAGCATTGAATTGTTAGATACATAAGCAGCATCTGAGGACCAGCCCAGATATTCTTTGAAGAAAAAGTGCTAGTACACATTTAATAAAAATCACTACATTTGGAACAAATATTTTTAAAAATATTACTAACTTTCCAGGCACTATTACTACTAAGGTAAAAAATGAGTTTACTTTTCACACTGTAAAGAATTCTGTGCTTTTTAAAAATCACAGGTTTGTTCACTTTTTAAAAAAACGAATTGTAAAGCAAAATGTAAGTAATGAAAGAGTCTCTAATATCGTGTAACATGCATCAGCAAATGAATCACGTGTTTTTTTATTTCTGTACCTTATATATCAGATTAGATAAGCAATCAATAAATCATTTACATTTCACTTCCAGTTATACAAATATGGATTCTTGTGGAGCTGTTCGAATTTATCTGTAGAAATACTTATGTACATATTTATAAGCTAAGCACTATATTTATTGGCATTAAACTACACTAGACAGTCTTCCATTGTCTCCCTATCTCTGAATCAGCACTGTTCCAGAATGCTAAGAAAACTACTTAAGGTTTTAAGATTTTTCTTAAATTCTAAATTCCTATTTCATATTGAGCAAATTAATGGCTAAACACTAGAGCTAATAGTCAAGACAGCTTATCCAAATGACTATATTGTTTATAGAAATGACCACATAAAAAGAAAGTTGTGCTACATGCTCATTACCATTGCTCTACTGTAACCATTCAAGTGGAATGTTTAAATTATTTTTTAAATTAAATAGTTTTCAGGCATAGGACAAAAGTTGACCAATGTTGTCTCACAACAAAACCAAGTTAACTTTATCTGTTAGTACCACATTCCCAAAGGCATTGCACTCAGTAAATAAACATAGTCAAAGGTCAGAGCTCAAAAGTACCATTAGAAAACTTTACAAATTAGGTTCAATGGGTATTCTATAAGTCAATGGCACAATTCCTGTCAAGTTTAGATTCTGGGTAATTAATACAGCCTATACCAGTTGTCACGTAACATTTTATATGGGTTTCCCAATATATGTCTCTTAATTCATGTCTATTCCGGCAAAAAAGCATGGCAGCACAGGTTACCTTGCCATGCTAATATGCATGAGAGGTGACAGAGAATACTTGGAAAGGACAGTAAGAATGGTTAACTGTCCCCAGGTGCCATTTCTTCCTGCACATATACTCCCTAAGCAGTTTTAATAACCTGGTTCAACTGGAATCTGACTAGGGTATCCTGGAAATTGCCTTGCATGGCAATCAGCAAGACAATCACACTTGCCTGTTCACCAACTGCAAAACCTAAATGCCTTCTACTGCAAATGCGTAGAAAATATTTCATTTGGCTTTTAAAAAAATAAGTTATGTTGAATACTTCTGACAAAAATAAAAATCATGAAGTTAATGTGTTATCTTCTCCCCAACATAGATTTCTGTGTCATGAATTTTAACAAGTACATGGACTGGTTTTCTACCTTGCAAACCTCTATATCATGAGTTTAATTAGATGGAGCCCACACATTTACTGTTTCAATAGATATTATCTACACTGGAGAAACAGATCTTACTACATAGCCAATATAAAACTGGATCACTGCTTTTAAAAAAAAAACAATTTTATTTTTTTAAAATGTTTTAAGCTTTGGTTCCATTAACCACTGAATTATGAAGCTCTAAAACATATGTAACCTAAAAGCTTCCATTAATTCTATTTAAGCCTGCTTAGAAACTAAAGGTATCGCCTTAAGGGTTGGTTTTAAAACCAATCCTAACAAGGGACACATCTGTCCTATTAACCAAATATGTTGGATTTAGGTCTGAGCTTGAAAGAGGCTTTCAGGGACTTTTCCTCCTCCTCCTCCTCCTCTGCATCCCCCTTGAAAGAAGGGGTAGTATGGATGATTTGCGTATGGAACCGGATTTTGTTGAGGCGGGGTTTTATCCTACCACTGCCGGAGATTTTCCTACTGAGCTCTTTGCTCTTGTTGGGTGCAGCAGCCCCCTCCGCCGATTCCCTTTCATCCCCATGATGGTGGTGGTGGTGGTGAGAAAGCTTGTAAGTAATGAGGTTAGAGGGGAGCACCCTGGAAAGCCTCCAGCGGCTGCTGCCGTTCGATGCCCCGCTGTCGGCCTCCTCCTGCAGAGCCCCGACGAGGCTGCGTACCTCTTCGGCGGTGCCCCGGCTCAGGTAGTGCGAGGCCTTGTGGCCGCTGTAATCCCGAATATCCACGTCGGCGTCGTAGGCGCCCACCAGCAGCTTCACCACTTCCAAGTGGCCGTGCATGGCGGCCAGGTGCAGCGCGGTGTAGCCGCCGCTGGTGCGCGCGTTAATGTTGATGGGCAGGCATTGCCGGTGGGCGAAATTGACCAGCCTTGCCAGCACTTCGGGATGGCCCAGCTTGGCCGCCCAGTGCAGGCAAGTGAAGCCCGTGATGAAATCGCGCTTGGGCAACAGCGCCGGCTCGCAGCTCAGTAAACTCTCCAGGCTTTCCCAGCGCCCGTCCGAAGCGCACAGCATCCACGCGTGCTCCAGCGGATCCAAGGCCCCCGAGCCCTCGCCGCTGCCACTCTCGTCCTCGGCCGACGAAGACGCCAGGGAGGCGCTGTCCGAATCCCCCCCGCCGCCGCCGCCGCCGCGGCTCCCTCCGCGGTGCAGGCCCCCCCCGCGCTTCTGCTGAGGGGAACTGCCCAGCATCCGTTCCCGGAAGATCTTTTGCCCACACCTGGGTGTGTTGGCGCCGGTAGAGGCTCCGCCCGCCGAGGCGCCCACAGCCGGGCTCGTGGAGGGCGGCGAGTCTTCTTCGAGCTGGGCCTCAACGGCGTCCCCGCCGGGCTTCTCCTCAGGCTCGGCATCGCCCGAGGGCGTCGCCACCGCCTCCAGGGGCCGCGGGCTGCTCTGCTCTGCCTCTCGGCCGCCGCCGCCTCCTCCTTCTCCCGGGCTCTCTGGGCTCGCCAGAGGTGCCTGGGTGATTCGGGACGGAAGCGCCTCCGGCGGTGCTTCCGAGGCGGCAGCGGCGTCGCCCTCCTCGGACGGCAGCTCTCCAGAAGCTGCAGAGGGATCCCCTCTCGCCGCCTTCTCTCCCTTCAGCGGTTCGGCGCCGGCTTCCTCTTCCAGGGCCTCCCCTCCATCCCGGCTGTCCCCTTCGCCGCCAGGAGCACCAGGGGGGCGCGGCGTGTCCTCGGGATGCCCGACGGTCCCGGAGCCGTTCTCGGCCGGAGGGGCCGCCGCCGCCGCCGCTTCGGATTTCCGACCGCCGGCACTGCCGCGGTATTTCTTGCGCAACTGCACATACTTGGTCCCTGAGCCGGGCTCCTGCCGCACCGTGGCCACGGCGTTGACCAGATCCTTAAAGTGCTCGCGGGCCCGGGCGCGCCTCTCGGGGTCCGGCGAAGCGAGGAAGCCACGGAAATGGTCCAACAGGTCGGCGTTGCGAGCCCGGCCTCCGCGCTCTGCCAAAAACCGGAGCACCGTGTCCCGGTCCAGCTCCCCCGGCGCGGCCATAGGCGCCCACAGACCGTTGGCGGCGGCGGCGGCGCCCCTCCTGTCGATCCCGACCGCTAGCCTTCAGCGCGGGATCCCCTCCCGACTCCTTCGCTTGGCCCGCCATGGCATCGTCGCTGCCACGAGACGCCCGACAGCATCGCCTGAGTCCGGCTTCTCCCTCTCCGCCCTCCCTCGGTTGCCGGACCCTATCGAGCGCGCGTCCCCTCCTTGTTCATGTGACGTCCGCGAGGGAAACAGGGAGGCGCCTTATTTGCCCGCTTTCAAACTGCCCTCCCCTCCCTTTGAATGAATCTCGGCGCCGAGGAGGCTCTAAAGCAGCTCGCCGCTGAGAAGGGAGGGTCGGGGCGCCCGTCCGAAACCACGCCCTCGCTCCGTGCTCCTCCCATATTAAGAGAGTAGGTTTCCTACTCTTACCCGTAGGAGGCAGTGCCGCTCGTGCCCCTTCCTCCCTGCCCCCCCACCCCCCCACCCCCACCCAACGTTCGTTTGCGGTTTGGGCAGCATCTTCTGCCGTCGGGACGGGATTGGCTGGGCATTGGTCCCGCCCTCCTTTCCGCGCGGCCTCTCATCCCCACCAGTTACATTCCAGCTGTTGGGATTGGAGTTGGAAGTTCGACGCGGGCTCCCACCCTCCCTCGCCATTGTCTTTGGCGCGCGGTGACCCCTCCCCTCATGTCATGGCTTCTTCCGATGTGGCTCGGCAGCTGGTAAGTCCGGAGCGCGCCCTGAGGTGTGGGCAGAGGGAGAGCCGGCCTGGACTGGGCGACAACGGTCCCGCTCGCCTGCTTTGTGGGTAGGAAATCCCATTGGATTCCCGGGCTTCCTTTTGGTAAAGGGAAAGTTGCAATCCACGAGAGCCGTTTCGCCCCCTTGTTTTCGATGGGCACAGGATCCGGCCTAAATTATCCAAAAAGGGCAGCTCTCTGGGACCCAGATTGCTTTCATTCATCCCATTATAAACACTTCCAGCTTCCCCCATCACTTATGGCTTTGTGTAAATCCGAAAGCACCAGCCTCTTGCCATTGACTGCAGCCAAACAAAAATAGGAAAGTTTGCTGTCCCCTCAACCAGTGAGTGCTTGCCTAGAGAATTTTTTTTAAATATTATAGACATTGTTATTAGTTAGAGTTTTACTTCTGGGAATTTGAGGTATTGTACCTTGTAAAGTAGGCTCACCTGAGGAATAGTGACTGGCACAGAGTGACTTCCTTAATTTTCCATGTCTGAGTATAGAGTTGAACTTGACTTCCCCTCATTCTAATCCAGCGTCTCTAATTGCATTAGCTTCTGAGATATCAGGAGGTTTACTTTCAAATATAGACAAAGTTCTCAATTGGTGATGGCTAGCTGTGCCCTGGTGAAACTAAGTAGGATTTGGGTTGGTTAGGACTTGGATGGGAGATTTTCTGAACTATAGCATAGAAAAGAATTCTGGAAGAAGCAGTAACAAATCACTGCCATGATCGATCTGTCTGTCTATCTATCTATCTATCTATCTATCTATCTATCTATCCATCCATCCATCCATCCATCCATCCTTGCTTTTCTAAAGAACATACATGCATGTCAGCATTGCTGCAGCATTTCTCAAATGACTCAGGTAAGACATTAAAGGCTGCTAACAGGTTTATTGTGATACCAGTTTATTGGATTAAACCTGATGTACTTCACAAGGTCTTTGCCCTGTTATATACATCAAAGGTTCCTTTTATATTTTTACCTCATTATTTCCACCCAGTATATACCACTGCTACAAATTCCTAGGCACCCCATCTGTTATTAATGCTTCACCTTATTTATATTTCCTTATTTTCCTTTCTCGTTTGAGAAACTGCCTGAATATTCATTTTCTAACTTTTGTATAAAACTTTTGCTTTTTTTTAAAAAAAATGTATCACTTCCAACTTGAAAATTTCTATATATAAACTCTACATATAGGAAATTAAGAGTTAGGAAAGAAAAGTATAGAAGTTGTCTCCCTCACACATTAAGTCTTTTGAGTGTTGGAAAATTACCGCTTTGTGTATAACAGGATTAGGCCATGCTTTTGCACATCTTCAGTCTAAAGTATTACAACCACAGTATAAAAAACATCCCTCCAATAGTTGCTTGGCCGTTCAGTGAGTGTGCAAATGATTAACTTTTACACACACATTTAATTTAAAATTAAATTCACATATTAACCAACCAACTTGTTACTGCTGCCCAGTGATAATATGCTTGGAAAACAGTTTCATTGAATGCAATAAAATTTATTTTTGAGTCAATTTGAACAGCATTGCATTGCTGGTAGCTTTATGCTACTAATGTAATTCAGTTATATGTATCTATATGAATATAAACATGCTGTAAAGGCAATTCAGATAGGTGTATGGGTTTGTGTGCATGTATATACACATACATATGCACATTTATACAATTTAATTACCTCTAGCATAAACCAGTTTATGTTCACAATATATTAATTTGTCAGGTTGCTCTCATTAAATAATAGCCTTTGAATTATTTTCTGTGCCTTTCTAAGCTTTTATTATGTCAAGATTTTCCTCCACACCCAGCACTATTCTATTAATCAAGAATCCTTTATGCTGGTAAGTCAGCATTCTACACTTACGCTAAAGTAACACCCATATTTTCATAATCTCTATTTTTAAATCTATTTAGCTCAAATCTTTTTTCCCCATTAAGGCTGCATTTCCTGGTTATGTTAACATCTAGGGATTATAATTTTCTCAGCTGTTGTTTATATTTAACTTTTTGTATTGTATTTGTAATTTGATTTTAGTTGATTTTATGATGATTATTTGCTGCCCAGAGTGTCACTTGTTTGAGATGGGTGGCCATATACATAAATTATTTAAAATAACTGTTCAAGTAATGTTTTAAATATTTAAAAAACTTTCCTGAATTTGAAAAATGAATTGCATACTAATGAGCTAAAAACTTATCCATAGGCTGCTGCTATTGTGGAATAATGAGGAAAAAAACAGCAGTGTTTTAAATAATTGTATATTTTATTGTAATATTCAGCTGCTGTTCTGGATAGATCCTATTTGTGTAGGTGTATGTGTATATATATATACACATACACACACACATTTCTTATCCTATTTATAAGAGGAGTATAAGGTAGCTTGCACATTTAAAAATACATTAAAAGCTGTGGCAATTTTCTACCCAATTATGACAGATCCTATTTGTATGTGTGTATTGAAAACCCTCATTTCTTACCCTATTTATAAGAGGAGTGTAAGGTAGCTTGCACGTTTAAAAATATATTAAAAGCTGTGGCAATTTTCCACCCAATTATGAGCAGTCCTAAAACTGCAATATGAAAGCAATAGGCAAATACCATTAATATATCAATATTATAGTGAAATATTAGAAATATTTACAAGTAATTTTTTACTATCTTTCACTGTGAACCCCCCCCCCCCCAAAGTTATCATTTATTAGTATTATACCAAAGTTTTAAGTTTTTGTGTTTGGAGGAGCGTTAAGAGATTTTCTAAAATTTATACACTGATTTCCTTTGCATAGATTTGAATCAGATTCATTTGCTATCCCATTCTCATATGACATAATTAGATTGAAAAGAATAATAGTCAGTGATATACCATCTATGATCTATAGAGTTTTATTTTTCTAAGTTTAACTCCAAACTAAACTTTGGCAATATACAGTAGTTGTGAGTGTACTTGTTTCATAAGAAATGAGTATATTTTGACTACTGTATCTCTAGATGATAAAGCATTAGCCTTGATTATTGTTTTCCACTTTGTATGCCTAATTTTTGAAGTGCATGTGATAAAGAATGCATTCTGTAAAGATACTGGTTTCTTCAGGTAAGGATATGTGAAGATTCTACAGAAAAAAGTAATTAAAAAGATGACTACTATTTAAATTCATAGGATAAATGATTTATAGCAAAGTTATTTAAATGTTCAAGCCCTTCAAAAGATTTCCGTATCACAGACACTTGAGTCACTTAACTTCCTGATTAAAACTTGCATCTACAAGTATGTTCTTTGGCAAAGATTCAGGGACACACAGAAATAATTGGCTTGGTATTTCTGATACACTGTTTGCAGGAGTGTAGGAGAGAATTTACATCCTGTTTAAAAAATGCATACTCAATTCTATTTTCATTGTAGAGATTTACCTTTGCTAAATGTACTTTTTTGAAGCTAAGATTTTGCTTTCTATTTTTTAAAAGTTAGAAAGGTAGTTTGTCAAATGGCCAATTGCATTGTTCTGTAAGAGGTAAAACAAAATTGCTCCCTCCACTAAGTTTTTATTATGTAACTTTTATTTTTATCAATAATTTTAATAAAAAATAGGGAATTTCAGGCATCATGAACAAAGTTAAAAATGCAATATTCCATACTGTATACTATATAATTTTAAAATTACAAATCACTGTTAAGCTCCAAGTAATACCAAGAATGTGAACAACAATGATCTTTCTAGTGCAAATTAATCTCAGCACTGATATTAGGAATTGTAATTTCCACCTAAGTAATTTCTGTTAAGAAAACCCCACATTTCAGATGTGGTTCTGCCCCCTAAATTTAGGTATAATATAAAAATGGTTTTCCAACTGAATTGATTTCTTTAAAATCCTTTGAAACATAAGCTGTTTTTAACATTGATCATATTTCCAGAGTTTAATAAGCCATTCTTCAGCAAAGAGAACTGTCCCTATTCTTCAATAGGAAGTGTAAAGCAATAGTCCCCAATCTTTCAAGCTCAGGGGACCTGTGGAGACGGCAGTGAGGGTGGGGGTAGGGGATGGTTTTATGTGCGTGTATGCACTGCTTTCACAAATGCAGTATCACACACATTTACACGCACATACACAGTCGCCCACCACTTCTGCGGACCGGTTCCAAACACTAGTTCCCTGGTATAGAGTATCCTGGCAGCAGATAGCATGTACAAAGCTAATCAAGTACAGTAGCTAAAATGGATGATCAGTGATGGTGAAGGGTACGTTACGGATTGGAAGACAATGAATAGTGAAAGTGAAGAAAGTGATGGACTACTTGTTAGAAAGAGTCTGCTACTAGGTTCCCCCATTGTTTGTAGGATAATGGAGTACTACAGTGATTGTTGTCATTATCTTCTACCTATACAGGTAGTCCTCAACTTGTGACCACAATTGAACCCCAAATTTCTTTTGCTAAGTGAGATAGATGTTACGTGAATTTTGTCCTATTTACAACCTTTTCTGCCACAGTTATTAAGTGAATCACTGTGGTTGTAACACAGTTGTTAAAGTGGATCTGCCTTCCCCAGTGACTTCTCAGGTAGTAAAAGGTGATCACACTGCAACTATCATACATATGATTCATTTGTCAAGCATCT